AACTTTTTAACAGGTTTATTGACATGTGTATAGCGATTGTCTGTGCACCAGATGATTACAGAAGAATATGATATAAAATAATACAAAATAGCTGTACATAACACAGATGTATTTAAAGGAATGCATTAGTAACTGTGAGGTTTTACGCTGTATAATACGTGTCGGCTACTCACTCACCTGTCGTAAGATGAGTTCATAAGTTGAGGTTTTGCCATCTGGAATGAAGGTCAACTGATACATATAGTTAAAAAAAAAAAAAAAGTTGGGGAAGAGCTAATAATGTTACTGGTGGTATTAAACAACCTGATGCCCTGCTAAAAAATACTGTATCTGAAATATCCAATGACACTAAACTCTAAAAACGAGGGAAAGGAAATTACATATGGACACCTATAACCCAAAGAGGGCTCGAACAGAAGAATTAAACAAAGAAAGAGGAAGGAAAAATCAGCTAAAATAAATATGTCAGGTCATAAACTAGAAGCCAATGAGGGTGCTGCAACGGTTCTTCCATCCACATGCCAATGGTGTTACATTAATCATTGTATATATTATCTTCAAAAGCAGGATTCACTGGTTTTGGCGTGCTTAGTAAAAGGCAGCTGATCGAGATGTTTCCATAGCCTGTTTGTGCCTGTTTCACTAGACCCCCTTTTTTTGTGTGTATAAGACCCGTGTGTGACTGATCCTAGACCTGTGGTGATCTGCCCTACAGTATGCCATCTATACTCTGGCCAATACATTAGATGATTACCTCTCACATGTCTCGTTAATGTGTTTTACCAGAAGTGAAACTTCTTGACTAAAGTGTCGTCTACCAGCCTTCTTGCCAGCCATGAAATCGCTAATCCTGAGCTACAGTAATTATCAACACTACGTCAATTATCCATCGCACTGTCGGGAGTTTAAATCTTGTATTTAGACTTTTTTTTTTTTTTTTTGTAAAGCAGCCGGCCGACTTTCAATAGAAATGTTCTATGATTAGTCTAAATACAAAATGAAAACAAGTGTTGATGTGTGATCTTGTTTGGTGGAAAATATTAGCATAGTAGTACAAAGTGGGACTCGATAGGATTCATTCACAAACGTCACGCAATCTATCAAGTATGAGGATTTTCTTTTTTTAGGCTCTCTATTCTTTTTTTTTTTTTTCTCTTTTGGAGAGGTCTTCCAAAAAATGAACCAAACATAAACAAATGCAGCGTTGTTAACAGCTGAGGACTCGGAAGACATCTTGGCCTGCGACAAAACGCTCTCAGCATGAGTAACAGGTTGGCAATCAACCGTGCAAAGTTTCTCGAGTAAGTGTACGTGTAGTGTACATACTGTATGTGTACGTTCAGCACATGCAAGCTAGACACAATTTCCATGTGAGCGTGTGTTATCAATTATACGTCTTCCACACTAGTATTGAAATTATCTGACTTTTTCGATCTAGTTCACCAAGCTACACCATAATATTCGGTTACAAAAATAGTATCACAATATAGACCATTCAATATGAGCACCAGGGAAGGCTAAATATAGCCTGAGTATTTGGCTACATTCATTGTCTGGGCAATGTGTTTTGTTACGGTAGCAGTGTGTTAAGTGTGTGTTTGTTGGACACAGTGTTGGCAATGTTTTCTCACTCACAAGCTCTCCTAGATCTACCACACGATAATATTCAGAAACATACAGAACTTGCTTACACTGAGTAACAACAGAGAACTAAAACCAATTTTAAGTTAGAAAAATAGTTATTGGTTTTTTTTTTTAACACTAAACATCTAAAAGAATTCCTCCCGCTTCCCCAAATAAACCCCTCCCCATTTCCTAACAAAATAGTCTTCTTTGAAACAAAAAGGAAAAGGTTATCTTTTGAGGTTACACAAGGTCAAACCTTTTTGACACTCCATCATACTAACATGGACCCTGTTTAGCATAATTCAGTAACCAGAAGTGTGTTCAAAGTAACACGTTAAGTACATTAGTACATTAGTAACACAGTAGCAACACAGTATGTTCTTATGGTGACGTCTGCTGTGTTCTTCTGCAGCCTTAACGTGCTCATTTCTGTCAGCATGTTTCGGCTGCTAATGCATCTGAAAATGAGCATTTACATAAATCGTGAGTCAGGTATATTTCATCGCTGATTCAGTTGCTTATCTTTAAATTCTAGTGCTTTGGTTAAATCACACCTACTTCACATCACTGGTCTAAAACCTCATTTGGAACTCACATAAATCATCGTATTGAACACGCCTCTGGTTGAGCCCTTAACCCGGAAAACCATTTCAGCCATGTTTGAAGGAACTGCTGACGTGACACTTGGCTAAACATAGCACAACATCTAGCTTATCTACGGGAGTGCTATTATTGCTGTAGAGAGTTATGAAGTGGATTTTACCCAGTTTCATCCCTAGCCCTTGTTTATCATCGTCATGTTTATCAGATACAATCTGGCCTTATAACAGGTGAATACTTTTTGTGTGGTACGATCATACAGCCTGTAGTGTTTCCCTCCAGTGCTCCAGAGTTAATCAGAGAGTCTGCAGGTTTTCATTCCAACCTAATATTACACAAGGGGATACATTATGGGGTCTCTCTGCATAGATTTCACACTAAAATGATACATAAAGGCAAAAGATGATGAATATGAACGTCCTGATAGTAACTATGATTAATACATTTCCCTTGATGACTAACTAGGAAATGTTGAATAGAAGCACAAGCCTCTGGTCTCATCTTGTAACGTCCCACATTTACCATAAATAGTTAGTGAAAGGTGATGGTGGGGTTTTGTTTTTGCAGGAGGTGAAGCCAGATGGGTTTTATTTGGCGATGAAAGTGCTACCACAGCTAATAAAGAAAAAAACAATTACTGAGTGGCAGCAGTTCACAACAATTACAGTAACATGTTTTGGAAATAAAGAGGCAGTCAGATATCTGGCCGAGAAGTGCAAGAGGTGGCGTTTCACCGAGTTTAAGGACACACGGACGCTGCAGACGTGTACGACACGGTCAGCTAAGGAAAAAGGCGATTCCTTTCTTATGTGCAAAGAGCTTGTCATTTCATACATGGCTTCTGAAACAGATGGAAAGTGTGATCTGTTTGTTTTGTATGACATAGTATATATTTAGTGGCTTGAAAATAATTGTTTGCAAAAGGTCAAGCAGCATCGTTTAAGATTTTAAGATTTTACTTATGAGGAGCTTCTCTTGTTGAAGGTTGGGACGTCAGGGAAATCAGCTCATGTAGAATTTGGCCGGAATGAAAAACAGCAGAATCCTTCATGATGGAGGACTGGACACGGTGTAGAGTTTAGAGTGAATTAGTTTCACCTATTCTCCAGATCAACATGCATCGAAGGATAAACAAGGGGAAGGATTATTTAGCCTTGAGCTGCATTCAGTACAACATTTTAACAGTGTTTGTTATACACACAGAATGCGTGGCCTGAGTGCAGAACACACACGCTTAACACATCCATTACCTATCCCTACTTAACACTGATTAACATTTGCAACATGAATGAAGCTAAGGCATCTTTCTGTTACTGTGATAGTGGTTGCTGAGGAGTGGTGACTAGTCGATGGGGCCCTGGAAGATGAGCCGCGTCCAGCCGGGGGAGCTGAGGGCAGTGGAGCAGAAGGGGCAGATGGGTCTAAAGGCGTGCGTCCCGTGGGGGAGTGGGGTCTCAGCCCAGTATCTGGCTGTCCTCTCTGAGCAGACGTGGCCGCACGGCACAAAACCGTGAGTGGGAGCTCCAGCATCCACGTACACAGCAGGCTCACAGCCCAGCCACAGGGGCACGTATGGACCCACACTCCTGCACAGGGGACATTCTCGGCGGACCGTGGAACCGTCGCTCTCTCCCGGCTCCTCCACTCCCTCGGATCTCTGTCCCCAGTCGTGGCGTCCGTGGACATGGCCGCAAGTGAGGTAGACCCAGGGCTGACGCTCTTCAAGGCTGAAGTAACACATCAACAGTGTCAGTATTTTTAACTTTGTGTGAACTCCTGGTGCTAATCATTCATAAAGAGCTTGAACATAGAGGAAGCTCCTGGAGATTAAACAAAATGAACATCCTTATATATAAAAAAAAACCAAACTAGTATTTCTAAAAATAGATTGTGGCTCCCACCTGTGGCTGCGTGGCAGACTGGGAAAGGCCAGTGTGCTGAGGCCTACAGGACACTGGGGCCGAGACGCATTGAGCTCCTGGCGAAGTGCTTCCAGGTGACGCAGGGTGGGAGCACGCATCAGCCCCTCACCTGTACGCCACAGCAGGGTGGCACCACACAGGTCAACCAGGGAACCATCACGTAGCGCACTGCTCTCACCCTCTGCCTGCAGAGGTTGATACACAGACAGACACACGCTCACAATGAAACCAAAGATAAACCTCACAACCTTGATGGGGCAAAAAAGCAATGTGGACAGGGTAACCAAACTGCCAGTGGCTCACCAGTTTGCCCCGGCTGGGCCCAGAGCGCGTCTCTCGCAGGGCATAGACATCTCCACAGACTGAGATCTCCCTCCACAGACCCTGCTTGGGGTCCTCTGGGAACCCCTCCGGGTGCATCACTAGCACCCCATTGGTGGTCAGGCCGTCCATGTGCCCATCAGGGTTTTTCCATTTGGTTGCTTTCTCCTTTGGTGGCACACATACGCAGACAAAGGCATATAAATCATTCCTGATCAAATTAAGATGATCTATAATAGGGAACATTCGTGAGATGTAAGTATTTGAAATAACTTTAACACGGATTCCAAAAATATAGTTTTTATTAGAAACCTCTGTTGGATCATCAGTGTACTTACCCCTAAGAAGATATTTTTGGAGGAATCAAAGCCAGCGGCGTAGATGCGTGCAGTGTATGGTGGGTTGCGTTCACACACCACTCTGCAGGCAAAACGTGAGATGGTGCTGGGAGCAATGGAGGGGTCCTCCCCCTCCTTTCCCCCTCCGGAGGTGTCTGTCACCACAAAGTCAATGGGACTTTCTGTGGAGCGTCCAATCTGCAGCACAGCACAGTGTTATTGATTGATTGGTATTGATACGTTGTATATAACAATACAATTATTAATAGTTTTAGATTCACACTAGCTTCATGTAGGTGTTTGGATTTTCTACAACATAAACAAATTTTGTTTCCCACAGGTAGTAGCTTTTATCGACGTGGGTGATTTTGGTGGATACGTCATCATTTGTTAGAAACTAAATAAATCTGTGATACTATTATAAGAGCAGACCTTTGTGTATAAAAATAGACTTTCTTGGAGATTTTATACTCCATACTCCTCATCCAGTTCTGAACCAAAATAATCTACCTACTGCAGACATTGCTTTGATGACATTACGTAAGAGCATATTTTGGAAGAAACTTTCTCATGATGACAAATTAGGATTATTTTTGTTGTTAAAGGAGCCTTAAGGGGGATGTATGAAACAGCTGACCCTCTGTTGATCTCTCTTGATTTCCTTGGCGTGTTACCTGGAACATGTCTGTGTTGTTGTCATGGCAGTACTCCACCACCACTGTCTGGTTGCGGGACAGAGTGAAAGAGATGCTGTGCTGCCCCCTGCTGTGGACCGCCTGCAACAACAACAACAGCAACAAGAAGAGTTGATGCACTCATCTGGAAAAGTCTTTCATCTTCTTGACAGCTCATACATGGAATTTAATTATATTGTTACTTAAAAGTCCATAAGACATACCGACATTGAATAATTGTATAATAAAAGTTTAATGTTTAATGTAGCATTTGAAATCAGCAACTGAAACAATGACCTGAGTGTAATTTAAAAATGTAATTTATCTTCATTTATCTTCACTGCCATGTGTCATTCATCAGACGATTAGGGGTGGGTAAAAGTATCGATTCATCAATGCATTGCAATATATTTTAATATAATATATAATTCAATATCAATTCATTAAATCCTCTGAATCGATTCAAGCCCCTGGCCAGTGGGGGCACGGTGAGCAACACCTTTGTGTGATTTGCATTGTACGGACGGAAGCCGCACTCAACCACACAACAACAACATGGCAACCGAAGCAGGTAGCAGCAGTGTTAAACCAGCACCTTCAACTTTAAAAGCAGTGTAAACCCGGAACACAGGAAATAGACAAAAGTAATGTAGTGTGTAAGCGCAACCACTTAAGCCGACACCGTGAAGATGCTCTGCAGCAACCCGCGGCTAAACCTTTGGATTCAAAACAGAAGCAACCTGACAGATCTTTCCTTTTAAGTAATTTACCCCTGGGATTATTAAAGTATTTCTGATTCTGATTCTTTGCAAACTGCCACCAAACTCTGCCCACGCACAGAAGATAACGGAGTCTGTGGCCTTCTTCATAAGGACCTACAACCGTACAGTGTCATAGAAAACGGGGGTTTTAAGAAGACGGTGTACACACTCAAACCACGATACGCCATACCAACACGCAGACACATGACGGAAGTCGCCGTCCCGAAGCTTTTCAAATTATCAACAGGTACTCTAATTAATTATTTGTGTAATTCTACTTATTACTGAATCGATATCGAAGCATTTAAATCAATATCGAATCGAATCCACACACACACACACACACACACACACACACACACACACACACAAAAAAGATAGACAGCTTTCATGCGAAAGCCATCATGCTTAGTCATCCTTCCTCTGGCTCATTTATAAAAGACAACAGGGAGTCACAGGAAGGAAGCTAACGTTCCACACTGATAAAACATACAGTACAAAAACATACACACCCGCACACGCACACTCACACACACTCTCACACACACACACGTACCTTGCTGTCCTGTGGTGTGTTGAGGATGTGCACAGCGCTGGGTTTGACACCGTTGGCCTTGGCCCTTCGGTACAGAGCGAAGCGGCTCTTTCTGCGCCCACGGTCTCCGCTTGGAAGAGATCCATTGTACCTGGAGAAAAGCAAACAAAAACAAGTACAGGATGAAAATACAGTCGTGGACACATGCACGTAACACTCAGACTGACCTAGGATAGGAGAAAACTCAGACTCAGAGACTATAGACATGTAGACAAGTTCATTGAGCTTTTTAAGAAAGCCTAATGGTGGGGAAAACACTTATCTCACTGTTTGCATACTGTCTATATGATCTGTCATCACTTGCGGAAAAACTAAAGCTATAAATAAAATGCCACTGGTGCTGCCAAGATGCCTGAAGACATAACTGCAATTAGAGTGTGAGCTCAAATGATTTTGTGCATCTTTACGGCTACATTAACGCAGATTCTTTTAAAATGAATTAGAGCAGCACAGCCTGGGCCACTCGTGATTCATATTAAACTGCTGAACCTCAATGAAAAGGACAACTACCACTTGATCTCGCTCACTCAGCTTGTACTTGAGGCTCATACGTGCTGGCTCTTCATCTAAACTCCTTTTACAGCATTTTCAACAGGACAGAATCATTTTCGTGACGCCATCACATAACACCATTAAGCACATAGCCTTGAGTGCTCTAGTTGGGGGAACATTACTTTGAAGGTTTGTGTTCATTAATAGAAACAGACGTGAAATTCAGCTTCTCCTGATGAGAACAGTAAATAATGTATTCTAGACCTCGAGTGTTTTATAATTCAATATCAGGCTTTTTGAAAAGATGATCTCAGTTTTCATGTTTTAAGGAAAATTATGTTAAAAGCATTTTGGTGCTGACTAAGATACTGACTTTGTCCTCATTTAGTTTGAAGCTGGGGTGAACATCAGTTGGGTTCATGCAGAAGGTAGTATGGTGGTTTTAAGCTTTTAACTAATCAGCAGGGCATGGTCCATATTAAAAACTGTTCAGAGGACACCCAGCGGGCAGAAAGACTTTGTGAGGGACAATAACTGTCTTTGCTGGCCTTCAGACAATATCAGATCAGAGGGCATCTGGTCTGGCTCTGCTCTGATCTGTCTCACAGTGGCTTTGCAGCATGGGATGAAGAAACCACTGCCGGCTTCAGGGTTTGTACAATAAAGCTGGAAACTATGACTGATTCATCAGGCAGTCTCTCATAAGAAACTAATCAATGGCAATTTTGAAAAATCATTAATTACTTCATAAAATAAAGACGCCAGTAATCTGCTGGTCAGTTTTTCAAGTGCAGGAATGTCCATACATTTCTTTCTTTTATATCATCACACACTGAATGTGTGTTTTGCTGATGGTCAGACTACGTCAACACGTAAGACATCACTCTGGGCTCTGGTGAGGTTTTTTTTGAGACATTGCCTTTAAAAGGGGAAAAAAAACAAATATATATATATAAATATTAGTTTCAGCTTCTTAAATGAACATATCTGCTGGTTTTCTTTGTCTTCTGTGATAGCATACTGAATATTCTTGGGTTTTGAGACAAAACAAGACATTTGAATATGTAAACTCACTATTTTCTGACATTAAAAGTCCAGTGTGTAACATTTAGGAGGATCTATTTCCATGAATGGAATATATTATTAATAGGTTTTCATTAGTGTATAATCACATGTATGTACACAGTTTTTATCTACAGACACCGCGGGTCCACCATGTTGAACTGCCATGTTTCTACAGTAGCCCAGAACGGACAAACCAAACACTGGCTGTAAATAGGGCCTTTCATGGTTTATAGTCAGTTTTGCAGCCACTGTAGTTTGTCCTACTCATTTCACAGCCCGTTCTCATTCCCAGGTCATCAAATACAGACGCGAGTGGTGTTCAGTTAGTTGCAATGTGTGTGCAAATAATGATCGGCAGAATTAGTTTGAAGACATTCTGAACACTCCTACATTTCACTATCATCAAATATTTTAAAAACTGTGGTTTTAATAAAACACAATTTGTTTTGAGTGTAAAATCACACACTGTTATTAGAGGAGAGAGATGCCTGATGCCTGAAATTCTGGGCCGATACGGATGTTTAAAATAACAATTTGGCCAATATCTGATGCCAATACCCTTTTTTGCGAGGGAAACAAAGAAAAATAGAAAGATTAGCATCTGTGCCTTGTTGCATCTCAGTCAATTTCTCCTCTCATCCAAGATGTGAGACACAGCCGCTCCCTTTCTGTGCTGCTGCATGGTGCACATATGTATTTGGGAGCTAACCTCTATACGAGGTAAGAAAAAGCTGTGGCCATTGCAAACATACAGCAAATTCACAAACAGAAGTTAACATTTGTTCACAAATCTGTTTTTTTTTCTTACATCTGTTCTGAATAGTAGCTATTCAAAGTCTGAGTTGAAGCTCAACATGCCAATTGTTATCTATTGTTAGTTTGGAAGTAACCTAAAAACTTGAAAAAAATAAAAACAGGTTGCAGGGAATTCAGATAAAATCCCAGACATTCATGAAAGTGTCTGTTTGTTGTAGCAGAAGTAATTTGGAAATTGCAGTGGGTTGCAAAACTTTTGCCTATATTTACCTTTCTTATATCTTGATATACGTTTTTATAATTAAAGTTCATTTTGTTTTTACTAAATCGGTTTTGATGGTTACATTTGTGTGTGTGTATGTAAGAGATGTTTGTTGACATTATGTATTTTTAATTAGCTATATTTCCATAAATCTCTTGGCCAAAATTCAATTTCTATGAGTAACAACCCTAAGGCCAGATCAGGGCAGACATGCAGCAGAATGATTTATCGGGTGTATTGTCGGGGGAAAAACTTCAAACAGGCCACATTTACTTGTTAGAAGATAACTCAGTGCCACCTGCTTTCTCCATGGCCCTGTATGTCAGTTCAAACTGGACCCTGGCTGACAGGAAAAGGGGACTGGGTCAGGAAAAGAAGACACATGAGGACAGGCTTCTGAGGGGTCTGGTGGAAAGGCAGAAGATGTGAAATTGGATGAAGGATAAGAGGGCACAGGAGAGAAAATCAGCTTATGGATAGAGAAAAGGTAGCCAGTGCCTTGAAAGAAACAGAGACAGAAAAGAAGTCAGAAGTCGTCATGAGTTTTCAAAACAGAAAGCTAAATGAATGAAATGAAGTAATGCACAGACTGCAGGGGGACACTAGGGAGAGAGAAGGCTGGGCAGAGGGTCGAGGGTAAAGGCTAGTGGAAGAGCACCCCCACAAAGTACGATTCGCTGGGCAGTTCTGGCCTGCATCACGCATGTGCGTACATCATAAAGCACAATATGAAATATTCACTCCTTCTGCCCCTCGACACGGGGTTTATTTTGGGGGCAAGTCACCAAGGAGGCCTGCCTCTGTGAAAGTCAGCACTCAGCAAAACACTGGCAGGCTGGCAGAGAACGGACTGGGTGAGAGACAGAGGAATGCGACAGAGACAGAGTTAAGAGGGGTTACGGGTGAGATAGAAAAAGGTGTGGGAGAGATAAATACAGAGAACAAGAGGGTGTTTGCATAGTGAAGGGACTTGGTCCTGAGTGAGTTGAGCTCTGCTGGGCTGCTGGACAGGGGCAGCGCTGTACAGTACGTGGTGTCCGGGCTAACCGAGGCAATGAGCGATGGCAGGCAGCCACTGCAAAGATCACATGGCCTGCAGTGAAGCAGGCATCGACTACACAGGGCATGTGATCATCAAGGCTGACAGATGCAAAGTTAAACCACACTTGCACAAAACAAGCCAGGAGAATGTTACATCTGACAGGAAGCAGTAGAAAGAACATCCTGTTCCAACATCGGGTATCTGCTGTCAAAGTTAGTTGCTGCATGTTTGGGGACGGATGAGCTGGTCATGGGCCCGAATCCTAATAAATCCCACTGATCTGGATATGGGATCATGTATAGAATTGTTAATATTGACATTAACAGCGTATCATCTACCACTGTAATCAGATTGCGACATTTCTAACATACCGTAAATCGTGTTACATAACAAAATAAAAAGCAATAATGGAGGACGCTCTTTCAGTTATAGCAAGATCCACTTTTTACATATCGCTCAACCCTTATTGAAAATCACAGAGATGATACCCATAATAGCCTGCAAGCCTCTGGCCACGACTCTGGCAGAACAAGATCAAACCACACTTCAATCTCTACAGTTTTAAAGTGAGCTAATACAAATGCATTTTCAACCCTCGATGAGGCACATTATGCGTAATGGTGCACACCGCAGAGCACACTCGTGTTTAAGTTGCATGGCCAAAACCTCAGAACAGGCATTAAATGGTCACTTCCTTATTCTGATCCGAGGATGTAAAGGGCCGCTCTGTTTAGACAGTCAGATGACGAGGAGAGCGACTAATCAGTATTCTGATGCGGGCGGGCTTCAGCCACCTCACTCCATGTTCAGCCAGAGGGGAAGAGATAGGCCATTAGGTCAGTTATCTTTGGCATACACAGGAAGCTCTGCAGGGCAAGAGGGAGGCCTGTGTAAGCCTGGATATGACTGTATATATATGTGTGTATATGTGTGTGTGCGTGTGTGTGTGTGTGTGTGTGTGTGCGCTGTGGCATTTCTGGTCCCTGCAGACCCTGCACAGTGTGGTGGAGCTGCAGGGGTGGAAATGCTGTGGAAGCTGGTGGCTGTCATCAGCACATCCTGCCTGCTGTGTGCTGGTGATGTAGAAGGGCTTTTCTCCTCCTCCTCCTCATCCTCACCCTCCTCCTCCTCCTCACCCTCCTCCTCCTCCTCTCCCTTGGCATGGATGGTCATCTGGCTGCGACGTTTATTAATTAGTCATAAAAGAGGGCTGTTTTATGACTAAATAACATGAGCAAGGTGCATGCATTTTTCAGACAATGATATCAGCCCCAGTCCTACTTTTAGCAATCTCAGATCCAGCATAGTATGACATCATTGGGATTTTCAGCCTGAGCCATCCAGCGCTGCTTACCCCCACTACAACCATTGATGAAAAAGCGGCTAACATCCGTAGTAGCCTTATGTGCAATGGCCATAGCAGATTTTGAACCTTTTTTTTTTTTTTTTTTTTTTTTTACACTCAAACGCAGCATACATGATGAGGAAACAGCACGGCGGCACAGTTTGAGAGAATACGCGTTCATTTGGAACATAAAGTTAGTTTGTAACATTACTACACAGCCACAGACTGGTGGTGTACCACGGCAACGTACAATACGGAATGAGCTTAAAAAATGTGTTACTATCGTGGGTTTACTGCCCTAAAACCGACGATGAAGAGGGTATCTTTGATAAGAGCAGTGGATTAAAGCTCAACTCACACGTCATCTGTTGGTTTATTGTGCTCGTGGTGCCGCTACATGTTTAACCGTCCTACACAATGTTACTATCGCTTATTAACTACGGCTTTCAAGAGACTTACCCCAAAATGACCAATTCGCCGTATTTTACCGGGTCTTTAACGGGCACATCATCATCTCCGTCTTTTTTCGGTGAATTCATCAGACTGGACTGCTCCAGAAGAAAAAAAAACCGCGTCCAATGGCAATAGTGGTGGGATAAAACAATGCTAACACACTCGAAACTGTAGGGAAGTGATTTAGGTTGTAGTCTATCAAAGTTTGGGCACAGTTGGGCAAAGTTTTTCCGGACTTCTTGTTGTTTCTTTTATTGTTTTAATCCCGTGAAGGCGCATCTTTCCGTGGCTTTAATGCCAGTGTGTAGCTAGTTAGTATCGCAACATATCTGTTCAGTAGCATAGGATACAACAACGGCTAACGGCAGGGAGTGGGGCATACCATATTTTGCAGGGGTGGTCGTTCAAAACGTATCTCGCAGTAGTTGACAAAATTGCCTCTAAAGTGAAGAATTCATGCTTGACGGGTTAATAAGGAAGAATAATACTGTACTAGCCATTAGGGGTGAAACAAACATGCTTATAGTTCAATATACAAATGCACTTAAACACGAACCCTCCTATGGAACAAGAAATGGATGCATCCTGGATGAGAATCTGGCTCCCACATAGAATAAAATGAGGCATTTAGAAATCCAGAGGAAGTGCCCACGTCCCCTGGCATGTAGAGGCGTGCTGGCACATTTAATGTAAAATAATGGGATATTTGATGCTGGAATGTATGTATGGAAATCATATAGCTCTGAGCTCGTGGGTCGTTATGGAGTCTGACGTAATGAGATGCTTCGGGGGTGTGGTGTAGCTAGGATGTGGGTCACCATTGCGCCCCAGACTAGACACCTTCTTTTCTTCTTGTCTGCATCTCATGTGGGAGTTGGGAGACAGATATAGGCCGAGTGGAGCCTACACTTCCAGACTCTCTTTCTGTCTCTCTCTATCTTTCTCTCTCTTTCTCTCTCTATCTCTCTCACACACACTCACACACAAAGAGTAGTTGTGTCTATGTAGACTTACTTACTCATAATACTGCGACCACAAGAGGGCAGTGCACTTCAGTTGCAAAGTACAACTTTATGAAGTTAGTTAAATAGCTATGTACGCACAATTTGTACGTCTAAACCTCAGTTTTACCTGCATATTGGTGAATGAACATGAACACGAACACCCACTGTGTTGTGTTGTTTAGATTTATATGAATGTTTACAGTAATATGAATGAATGAAACAGACCTAGAGTTGGGTCAGATACAGCTGCCTTGTCACATACTTGGCACCTTTCCTGCAACAACCTGCTCGTTGTTCATTGTTATTTGATGAGACAGAAAGCAAAGCCTTTGCTGCAGGCTTTTTGGACAGAATGCAGAGCTGGGGTGTCAGTAACAGAATCTCCACAGCGGCATGGCGGCCTTCATCTGCAACAGAAGCCTACTTCGTGTTCTGGAGGGGTGGTGTGACATGTAGTGGCTTGCATGCAGGGCCAGGCACAGAGACGCCGTGCAGTATCCTGCATGAATGCAGTATCCTGCATGAATGCAGTGTGTGGTGATCGTTATTGGACATGTTGGTGTCATTGAAACATTTGTCTGTGCAAATTTACAGATGTTACCTGAGTGATATGATATCAAATTCAAAATGCAAATGGTCATGCCCTCCCTCATACTTTAGCTGAAGTTCTGCAAGTACAGAAAGACAATTGATGGTATGTGAAGGAGTGATGATTCATGAATAAGCTTCAGCATAAACCTAACTAAATGACCACACCCTTAATAATCAGTAACTATGAATAATCAGCCAAGTGGAGGGCTGATTCACCTCATCGGGGTATACAGTACACAAGTTTCACTTTGTGTATTCAAAGTTAAACCTCCAACATACTTTTCTTCTGAGATACAATGTAGGAACTGGATGGACCAGATGTGTGTGTGTGTGTCTGTGTGTTTGTGTGCATGTGTCAGTGAGTGTGACTTACTTTCCCACTGTAGGATTAAGGTCACACCCTTTTCACTCTCTCTCTCTCTCTCTCTCTCTCTCTCTCTCTCTCTCTCTCTCTCTCTCTCTCAATCTCTATCTTTCTCTATACCTCCCATTTTGTCTGTCTCTTTCTGTTTTCCCTCCATTTCCATTTTCATCCCTGTCCTTGTTTGGCTCAATTTCAGCATTAAACTAGAACATGTGTCCTGCTCCCATCATGCAGGAGGAATCCTCTCTGGTCCCCTTAATTTATGTTGTTTATGGCCATAACAATCAATCAGCAGGACAAGGATCCAGTTTGTGCTGTGGAGACTATTTACTCAGTCCTGTCTAATCAGGAATTTACAATGTAAAGAATTATCTGAATGAATAAAATCCACTCAGGTACTGTATCTGATTCAAAATATTTAATGATTATGGTTGTGCATTAATATGCAGAGGAGTCATCAGTTTGCTGAAGGGTACTTCATTACAGAGCTGACTCTTTGTTCATAAACCTTCTTTTCGCTGCCACAAATAGGAAATACTTCATATAACTGTCTTTCCATGATGTCATCAGTTCTGTCATCCTCTTGTAGTTAAAGCAACACAGAGATGTAATTAATAAAATAAATTGGACATGGCAGTTGTGATTGACAGCCACTTTGTTCTATGAAGGCCTCGTCAGCCAGACATATTGTCATGAGTTAAATCACACATGTCTCAGCTGGCTGCTGCTGCTGCTGCTGAGTAGTATTTGTTGTCACAGTTCACAAAATATACAGTAGTACTGATGTACAAATACCGTACAGTAGTTCAACTCAGCGAGCCATCACGTAAAAATGCAAAATCTCCATATATGGCAGCTTGCTTTGACATTTATGTCACTGGCATGGATATGGGAGATCTAACAAGCCAAACTAGAAAGGAATTTGTAGTCCACAGTGTGTAGTTGTGAATAAACCTGTTGCATTACACAAGTAATCTAGAAACCATATTTGGTGAGCAAATCAGAGGTCAGATTGTATGCCTAATTGTGAACATGTGGAATGCATTATCTCTGCTATCATTATGCAGCTTTCGGCAGGCTGCATTTTAAGTCAAGCAAAACATAGCAGAAGAGGTAGCCACTGATCATTTATTAAAGTGCACGCTTATGTAGGATATACACAAATAAGGACCTTTTTGGAGTAACTCTACTCGTGTTCTAAGTAGCAAATATAGACACAAATTCTCAAACTATAAATATATACGTAATAATAACAAAATGAACACATACCGAAAAACCACAAGAGTAAATCACATTATTAAAAACAGATGAGACAAATAGATTAGAAAACCCCTTTTTTAATCGCACACATTCTCTATACACATAATTGTGTGATACTGTTTTTGGATTAGGAGCCTGTTGCATGTCCACCACCAGACATGACCTCACGATGAATGTGACTACTGGATAGTCTCCACAATGTATTCCCAGAATGTCAGTGTATCAGTGACTTAAAGACGCCTCTGGACCGACTTCCTCAATCTGGGTTTAATTGATGCTGATTTAAAAGATGAAAACAGATATTTAAAAGAAGAATGGCGTGTAAGGGATGTGAGTCAAGACAGTCAATTTAAACCACTTAGATGTGCCACAGCCATCTGCTGCTGAGTCTTTGTCAACGTTGCCATAGAGACAAGAGCAAACAAAGAAAAGGTATTCCTGTAATTTAGCAACCCTGTTTCCCCTGTCTGTAGTTGAAGCTTAGATGGACTGGTGAAGCAGAACCTTTCGGATATAATGCATACCAAACAGAGCAACAAGAGTTATTAAATCACTTTAATACAAATCATAATATCATCTCTTATAGTGTAAGCATCACGGCCTGCTTGTTTGCGTGCATGACGGCTTTGCTTGTAACAAAAAGACAGTATCCTACCTGTGATGCACGGGTGCACACATGCCTGCTGGGCGTGTGTCTGTGTGTGTGAGACACCATACTCCCTCTACTTGATGAGGAGGCAGACTCCTACATAGAGCAGGCATGAAACTGCAGATGGCTCAGCATATTCCCATTCACTATGGGCACTGGGACACAACAGGCTCTGCTAGTGATTTTGGCTCCCTACAGGGAAGACTAATTGCATACACAAGCAGGTTTGTTGCAAAACACTGAAAATGAAAGGCATTATATACTGTGGCAATAGACTGTATATACTGTAGATAACAGCCAGACGGTACAGCCTGTTCAGTATAGTTTCAACAGTTTTGAAATATGTGCTGATTTTGCGTCAGTTTGATTGCACATAATGGTGTTTTTAGATTTAGCACACCATTGAGTAAGACACGAAAAGATGACGTGAGATCATGTGAGAAGCAGGAGACGAGGAAGTTATCTTAGGGCCTCATAGAAGCAACTTCTGAGCCAGTCAGAAGTCAGAAATGGACCAAACAAAGCTGCCCCACATGTGACAAGATTAACCTTTGTAGTCAGTTGGTTAGGCAGTACACTTGATCTATTCCAGTACTTCAGTTCAAATGAATTATCAATTATGTTGCATCACAGTATACTAAAAATAACTGAGTAGATGCAATACTTGCAAGGAGAACCATCATTATAACCTAATTTAAAAAGTGCAGTGGAAAACCTCCAAACTCTCATCTTCCAGTTTTATACTCCTCTTCAACCCTTCAGCTCTTATATTGTGTTTTCTTTAGTACGCTTTACAGATTTTTAATCTTCCTTTTATTGTTGTTGCTACAACATAAAGGAGACAAAACCTGAGAATTTGACTATTCTACATGTAACAATAGAGGAATCTTGAATCTCTTGCAACCTGAGGAAACTTGGAAGCTCATGATGTACTTGCTGCACTTGTGTTGACCTCAATGGGACAACTGCAGCTCAGTTTAAACACTGACCAGTGAGCTGAGACTTCCTTTCACAAATCATTGAGCTCCATGAAGCACCTGCCAACAACCTGCCATACATGTACATGACCCAAGCAGACACACAGAGAAGCTACACACACAGCTGCTGGCATGAGCTGTGCTGAGTCCTTTACACAAAAGCAGATGGCTCCTCAGACGGGTCATTAATAAGAGCCGGTGGGGAGGCTGTGTGTGGCGGGTTATTTTTGGATTTAGTGTTGTGTGTTATTTAGGGATGAAAGTTGTACTGGTGACTCTATTTCTGTGTTTGTGTAAGCGGGAGGTTGCCAACAGGCACCAGAGAGAAAGAGAGCGGCATTTAGAGTAATTGGCTCCCTGTTCAGTCTGACGGTATTCCACAGCAGACCTATTAATAATTACACAATGTGTGAGTGGCAGCCTTTGACCTGGCTTCAACAGGTTTTATCACCGCAGCTTTTTAAGAATGTGTTAAGGCATCGTGAGTCTTGTTAAATGTTTTGTCACCACTCAAGATGGCGTAACAGTAGGGCATTAACTGAAGAAGAAACAGCTATAAATGATGTTGATTGCACCTTTCTTGGTCAAACTTATATTTAAAGAACCGTGCACTGCTATGGCTGAGTTACACAGCAGAAAGCCAGTCCAGGTAATTACAGTGCTGTTTAATAGACACATAATTTACCACAGAATAACAATACTTTAACTCTGTTCTAACTGTTTTATCTAAGACGCAGTCTGTTGTATTTACAACTACTACCCTGTTAATCGTTTTTTATCTGAATGTGTCCATCTGTCGCTGTGGTGTGCCATGTGTCACACAGGAAGGTTGCAGCATATGTCACTTCCTGTCACAAACGAAAACACAATTCAACATTTACAGTCTGATTAGGTCTTTATCTCTAGAGGAAACATCTTTCTGTTATTATAAAATCACGTGCTTCCTATTATTTGTCTCAGATAGCTTTTATCTGTTGAAGCAACTACAGTAAAAGTAATCATTTTCAATAAAAGACTCTTTTCTAGTGTGCACTTCGTGTTCATTTATGTAACATGAAAGATTGGAGACATTTTGGCCCACAAAAGCCATCATGGCTGTACAAAACCACACCAATGATATATAGATTAAATACACTGTGAAGCAAAGGGAAAATCTGTGTACCTGGCCTAAGGGTATTTCTTTTCCTAGTTTTATGCAAGTCTTCTCCACCTGCTCTTATTTTACATTTTTCAAGACAGTGATAAAGAAGTTTTTTCTAAAGGGTGTGAAAAAGCAATACTTTCAATTCTCAGCCTCCATTAATTACATCTGTGAGTCTGAATTGCTGCTGCTGCACACATCCCTCCCACTCCGCCAAATTCAAACACAGGCCTCGGGCTCCCTATAATTATTAGCACATTGTCCAGGGCGGAGGGAAACGCAATGTGCGACAGATTCTGAGGAGCTTACAACTGCCTGGAAGCTGAATGTCACTCTGCATGCTGCTTTTATGACACTGTTTAAACGGGCCCCATGACAACCGAGACACTGAGACTTTCTGAGCTGTAGCTGCGGCCCATCCAGCTGGTCCTAAAGTCCCTTTGTGTGCCAATGTCGGATGTTGTTGGACAGGAAATGCCTGTGAAGACAACTGCAGACCATATTTCATTCAAGGGACAGTGGTTTTAAAAAAGATGGAAAACAAAAGCAATCTGAGAGTGAATGTCTATCACTGAGGAGCTGAACAAGAGTTGCCTAGATAAAGATTAGGCAGAGGGGTGTGTTTGAGGAGCACAATATTTTTTAGTTCTGTTGCCCATGGCAACTGGAGGATGCACTGCCCTGGGTTAGAAAAGCGTAGAGGTACCTGAAGGCTGACGGTGGGCAGGGTTGTGACAGCTAAATTAATGGCTGTAATGTAAATTGTCCAAACTCACTTGCGGGTGATGGGCAGTGATGTTTGATTATAAAGTAAAGATTTTCAATTAACTACTTGATAGACAGATTTCTTATGAATTTCCAATTTGATAGACACATGTCATGGCTGCAGTCTTTGCATAATTTATATGCTTTTCCCAAAACAGATTCATGTTACTGATAAACACAAAGCTACTAAAGAATTCATATTAAACACACATTAACATGGTTTATATCATTTGTTAAATTCTTACAAAAACTACAGTGCAACAATTACAATTCAGCATTTATACAGGGGGTTATGTACCGAATTCTTTCTTGGTTGGAAGCTGTTGCCAGGCAGCCAACGGACACCCCAGGAAGTTACAGCTCCCTGCCAAAAAACAGTCCAATACATAAACCCCCCCCACCCCCAAATAAAACAACAAATTGTAGTTTTAACACGTTTTTTGTGTGAATTACGTGTCAACTGGTGAGCTTTAGAGGTGCTGTTAGGCCGATTGTGGACACAGCCAAGCTAGCTGTTCCCCTGTTTCCAGTCTTTGTGCTATGCTAAGCTAAGCTAAGCTAAGCTTATAAACTTATAAATGAGCTAAGCTTCAATCAATTCCTTTCATCTTAAATAATAAAACAGTAAACATAAAGGAAGTATACCAATGCAACATCATAAGTGTAAAAGAAGAACTGTTAACATACAGCTATGCCTCACTGTAGGTGATCCATGCACTGCAATTATGTTTTCTATTGTCAAAACTTCTGCATATGTTTGCTTTCCATTCCACAGATTCTGTACATATCTACACCAGCCAGCCCAACTAACATTTAAAACACATATACACATTTGGATAAAAAAAAATGCTTGAGGGTGAAACTGTCTGAGTGCTCCACTTGGCCTCTGACTCTTTAAGTAAAGTAAGCATACCATCTCTAAACTCCCCAGCTCTATGGAAACAAGTGTGGGTAGAGACAGACGGAGACTGCCTGAGGTGTGACAAAAGCAACGATGAAAAGTGTGTCTATTCAACTCTAGATCTCACTGTATGAGTGTTAGTGTTTGTGTGTCTTTCACTCGAATAAACGCTGTACAGGCACGGATTGTAGACAAGCAGACTAAAGATTTACAGTGGCATGACAAACATCATAAACAGCTGGTTGAGCACCGGGCAAACCGGGGAGAGACTGTTTTCTAGAAAGCAATGTCAGAGGCTTTTAAAATATGAGTTCATGAGTGAAAGACTCTTTCATGATGAAATGCACATTGTCTGTATGTTTCCTGGTTTGCTGAATGAAGAACTGCAGCGAGATTAAAATCAAAGAGGAACGCCTGCCCTGAGTAAACAAATGACAGGGGAACTGCCAATGAGCTCGATTTGAAAGTATTGTTTGAAACCACCCCCTTGAAAAAGGCGTACAATAGTCCAGTCCACCCCCACCCAGCGACATACAATGGCTAAACCTGAACGCGAAAGAAAACGAAGCAGGTCTGCTCAGGCTTTCATTCAAATCCAACACTTCCGCAGCAGCTTTTACTGGGTGGCTGGCCACAGGAAACACATTTCTAGTGAATCACATCTAAAGTCCTGATGTGACTGTTGATGCCTGTATGAATGAGATTGCAGGGTGAATTGTGTTTGTATCACCACAACTTCAGGATGGTATGAGTGTCTGCAACTTCTGAGGCAGGTTTTTCTTGACAAAAACACAATTGAATTGAAAAAGAGGGACAATGTGAACTCCTTAGTCATGCCTTCAAACTGAGGGCCACAGGTGAGCCTGACAGCATTTGACACCGGCCAGTGTGTGCAGTGCATCTGCTGCTGAGCGCAGTGACAGCTGTACAAAAGGCCTCTGACATGTGCAGCGTGATTCACAGATTCAGCGCTGATGTAACATCAGGAGCCGTTTCAAAACTGCTCTCCCTTTTCACATTTCCTCTCTTTAGAAAAAAGCAAAATAGTTTGTAGATTTCACTTTGGAATTTCCACATGCACAATGGAAGTCATGAATGTAAAAAATCATAAGCAAACAGGATTATACTTGACGCTGCAGAGGCATTGCCCTCAACTGTTCAAATAAAGTGGCTCCATTACAATAGCGTGCTATGAAAATGAAGAATTCCTGCAAGTGTTGCTTTTAATTCACAAAAAATATATATATACTGGAAAGTGAGAGCAGTTTCAGGAGAGATAACAGGCTGTATCATTTGTGTGTCTATCTTTTGTGTAACTGCCGGTCCCTGTCCTTCATCCCGGACACGTCACATGCACACTACGGCTCCTGACACAGCAACAGGTCAAACTTCAAATCAGCAGCCACAGAACAAACAACACATGAGCAAATACAGAGATAGAGAGCAAGCATTCCTACACAGGAATTCCTGGACTGTGACTCTCCTGAACACTGCTATAGTAACATACTTTAATACCTTCAAAATGTAATCTTCCCAGGAAATTGGATAGTGGTCATTGTGCTACTACTGCTTAGCACGCAAGGTGAAAGTTATAGACATAAACCTGCTCTGGAATCAGTGTTTTACCTGTCAGTGTTTATCTTCAATCTGACACACTGTGACTGTTGTTGCTCACCGACCTACACCACCAATTTCCATGACAACTATTTTCTTCTTTCAAGCGTTTCCTGACTTCACACAGTGATGTCACTACCCACAATTCACACCCGCCTCGTTCGATGCATGTAGAGGGGAAGCCGACATTACACACACAGCTTTTATGGCCTTGGAAACCCATGAGCAGAGATGTACAGTACAGCAGTTAAAAAACAAAATTGAGGGAAAAGAATGGCTCTGAAACTGTGGCCTGATCTCAGGTCTGTGCCTTACGGCGACTCACATAATCAGGGCAAAATGCCAGGCTGACCTTTCGTGAGGCTGTCACCCTAACCTCAGCAGTTACACAAGACACTGCTCTCATTGAGTTCTCAGTTACCCGAATTTGCTCTGCTCATGAGCAAATTCTCACCAAAGAGTCAGATCTTTATCATGGTGAGAATATAAATTTTGGTTAGTAAGAAATGTGTCACCTCCGGTTTATAGAAATATCCTACTTTACTTTTAACCCTTCTTTAAATACACATGTAAAGTTAGTGGTTAACATTATAATGCTCTGAGTCCTGTTTCTTTCTGTGCTCTCTTTAAAAGTTTAGGCTGGTTGACTTTTACCCCTCAACGGTTCGAGAGTTGGATCAACTCCACATGACCGCTTTAAATTTGCTACCTTTGTTTGAAAATGTCAAAAGCCAAACGTGGAGTCAGTTTCCCCGTTCGACAAAGTGATACTATAAGACCATCGGCAATCACTACCCTGAAACTAGAGATCTCATCACTTATTCACAGCCAGTGACTCACACATGCAAGTGCAGAAAGGAAACAGGACGAGGCTCACTTCACTTCAGTTTGTTCTTACTAGTCCCTCTTTCAACCATTCGAAACTCTCACTTCCTCTATTGACGAGCTCAACTTTTTCAGAAGTGAAATATTACATTTGCTCCTAAACGATCACAGCTGCTTATTGAAAAGGCGTCACTTCCGTACTGATCTGGATATATTTTTTTATTATTTCATCAGCATAGCAAAAAAAGGGGAACAAAAGTGAAACAGAGCAGTATCTATGAACTATGAACAGAAGGTTGGCGTGTGCCTGCAGGACCTTAAAGTGTACAAGTGGATGATGATGATGATGGGTAAAGAAAAAGAAAAGAAGAAGAGGAAGGTAGCAGTCACTGAAGCACCTACGTTGGAGGTGGTGGGGGGGTTGGGGATTTTGAAACACTTGCTGGGGTCCAAAAGTCAGTCACAGAAAATCTACATGTGCACAGCCAGCTAGTTAGTAACCCCCACCCTCTCCCCTCCCACCCTCCTTCTCCTCCATCCCAAAGTGCAAACTCAGCAGCTCAGCATACCTTCTGTCGTAGACAACCGTCTTGATTTTGGGACACCTGTAAGCTGGGACCCTCCTAAGGCAGCTGAAACTACAAATACCCAACAGTAATGGAAGCTCTGGGAGAAAGAAAAGAGGTGATAATAAGACTGGTGGAAACAGATTCAGACCCTGAAACAACAAAAGTATATATCCGTATCACAGTGTGTGTGTATATCCAGCGTCCACATAGTGTCTTTCAAACTAAAACCGCCACAGCAGACACGATGGATGTAATCACAGCACAGGAAATAGGTACGATCACACTTCCTCAATCATCCCGGTACAATCAATTATGAAAACAGTTGCTTTTTTTTTTTCTCGAGGTCCAAACATTATACACATTCTTACAAATGACAGAGGCCGTTTGAGCCACGATAGTGATATGCTGATGTAGGTCGATGGTTTCGGGACTTTCTCATCCTTTGGACATGTAGCTGGGTCATGAGAATACTGAATGAGAGCTAAGTAAAAAGGGGGCGAAAACTCTAAGCGTGTCCCAAAGTCCCCTGAAAGAAATGATACAAAAGGAAAAAAAGGAGGAGAACAAAAGAATTTGCACCAAGAGCTCAAAATGAAGCTTATTGTATATTTAAACAGTACTGATTATACAGAAGGTGAACCAAAGCAAACTACTAAAAAGAAAAGCCAGCCAAAAAAAACCAAAAACAATTTGTCTTTTGTTTAAATGAAATCCAGGGGGGTTATAGTGAAGTCATCATTATCAAAAAAGAAAAATAAAACAAAATATATTTGCTACTCTCTTTGACATATATACTCAGCAGAGAGGTTGTGGTATTATTTGCTTCAGATTGCATTTTTTTTAACTCGTGTTTGCATTCTCAGCTACTTTCTTTGCCCTGAAGTCTCCAGGCTGGTGATGGATGGGAGGAACATTAGGATTTGTAGTTTGAGGTAAGCCAGGTCAGGCCCTCGTATAGTCCATCCCCTGTTGTTGCACACGAGGGCTGAACGTACCAATTCCTATCTCTGATCCGGGTCAGGCCTAGCTTCTCCTGGATCTCGTGGGGTTTCATGGCATCTGGGAGGTCTTGTTTGTTGGCGAAGATCAGGATGATGGTGTCCTTCATCTCCCGGTCGTTGATGATTCGGTGGAGCTCCTGCCTCGCCTCGTCGATCCTGTCCCTGTCGGCACAGTCCACCACGAAAATGAGGCCCTGGGTGCCGGTGTAGTAATGTCTCCAAAGTGGCCTGATCTTGTCCTGGCCCCCCACGTCCCACACGTTGAACTTCACATTCTTATAGGTGACGGTCTCTACATTGAATCCAACAGTGGGGATGGTGGTGACCGACTGTCCCAGCTTCAGCTTGTACAAGATGGTAGTTTTACCAGCAGCATCAAGTCCAAGCATCAATATTCTCATCTCCTTGTTGCCAAAAATCTTTGCCAGCACTTTCCCCATTTTGTTTGTTGTGCATAAATACTTTGTTAGAAGAAAAAACAAGGCTTCTCTAATGAGAGAAAAGAAGTGGTTTTCAATACAGCTGAGAAGTTAACAATTTCAAGTGTGTGCTGAGAGCCCTCCACGTGATGGCAGCGGTGGGCTGACACAAGTGTCAATATTCAAAAAAAAAAAAAAAAAAAAAAAAAAGGCTGCGACTTTCAAGTGTGTACAGTTGAATGACAGACCACTACAAATAGCTGGACTACGGGGGTCTGACCTGAGCGGGTGAGCATTCAGTGGGAGCACAGTGTGTGTAGCCCTCGCAGAATTGGGTGGGGATATATTTTCATGATCCACTGCCCTCCGATGTAGGAAGAAAAAATTACATCCCCTTGTTTTCAGACTTCCGTCAAAATCCACATTTCAAGCCTCCTTCAGAAACCCTGTTACTCTCAGTTGGGTTCGACTTAAGATCAGAGTAGCTTTTTCTTTCTTTTCTTTCCTTTTTTTTTTTTTAATAAAAAGCCTACTCTATAAATCAGGCCCTGTCCAAGCCCGGGGTTCCCACTTCCTCCTTGGCTGCCGGGCTGTCCACACTTGCCCTTAGCCAATTCCAGTCGATGAATCTCAAAGCACAGTTCTCATTAAAATACACCCGAACAGGAGCTCTCCGGTCCGTTTCTGCACCGGGACATCCAGAGGATCTCAAAAGGTCATTGATTCATCCGACTTTCTTCTCTTCCCCCTGTGACACAAGAGCGGTCCAGAGAAGGGAGGGGTGTTAGTACAGAGGACAACTTTGGATCCGAAAAAATATTCTCTCGGCGGATGGAAAAAAGCAAAACAAAAACAATGAACATAGAGAGCGGGCTAAATACCTGCGTCTGCGGCAATCATCCCCCAGTCCCCGGACCTTTTCTCCCCGCTCTTGCCGCTCTCTGGCTCTCTTCTTCCCTCTCTCTCTCTCTCTCTCTCTCTCTCTCTCCCCCTCTCTCTCTCTCCAGTCGTTCAGTCACAGCGGTGGCGGTGCTGTGTTACCGGAAAAGGTGCGGACCCAGATCAGCCGCCACTTCCTCTACACTGCTCACACACGCTAGTGCTGCGTTCAGGAGCTCTTCTCGAGCTCCGACATCAGAAGACTCGAAAAAACATCCGACTATAAAAGCATTGCACAGGAGCTCGGATACACTTTTGTGTTCGTATACTGTATTATGTTCTTCTAGTTGTGTTTATCTGATTATTTTTTACTATAATATGTATTGTTATTATTGTATATTTTAATAATTATACTTATTTATTTATTACTATGGGCTATTTTTATTGTTATTTATTACATAGGTTACTGCTCTTTGGATGATTTTTTGTATGTTCTATACAGATGTATGTCTGTATGTTGGTTGATTAAAAAAAGTAACTTTAAGCTCCTGAAAACGTATTTTCTCAGTCAGCTGCGATGTAATGGTATCTTACATAAACACACTATTTTTTAATAGTTAGAACAGTTTAAGTTACATTTGAGGTTTCTTTATTTTGTAGGTTAGAAAAAGGTAATGTCACATACTTCTCTGCACCAATCAGGATTTATCAATATTTAAATCAAAATCTGTTGACAGTTGGTGTGTCGTTTACTCACTGACAATCCAATCAGATTAAACCACACCCAATGAGTCCTGATGAAGCAGATTAGCTTCAGTTTAAGTGTTTGTGGACCAGTGTGAAGGATTTAGTTGCATCTAGCAGTGAAGTTGCAGGTTGCAACCAACCGAATACCGCTCGCCTTCCAAGCATGTAGTAAGAGAAACAGTGGCCTGTTCTGGGCTTCTGTAGAAACATGGCGGTTCAACACTGCAGACTTTGTAGAAGTCGACCCACACTCTCTCTGTGGATAAAAACTGCCCATTGTAAGGTAACAAACACAATGATTCTACTTTTCAGGTGATTATACTGCAATGAAAACATACCTATGAATGTACACCCACAGCCACACACTGCTCTAATTTGTTGGTCAAGTTCAGTGATGACATGACATTGACAGGACTACTGACAACGACGAGACAGAATAAAGAAGAGTGGTTAACAACCTGACAACCGAGAGTATCCTGACTGGATGTATGACTGCCTGCAGCAGTGTAAATATACAGTATATGCAAGTTATGCAGTTGCATAGGGGCCTGCAGCAGTTCAGGGCCCGTAATAGACCACTTGTATCTTCAGTGTTACTATATTCTACATGAAACATTCAGTCAGTGATGTCAATATGGTGCTTGTGCGGTTATGTTGTCATATGTGTTTTAATCTCTATTGGTGCTCCACCACCGATTTGGTGAAGTAGTCTAGTCTATCACTGTGCTGTCTTAGCCTTGCTATTATGAGCATCTATCTATCTATCTATCTATCTATCTATCTATCTATCTATCTATCTATCTATCTATCTATCTATCTATCTATCTATCTATCTATCTATCTATCTATCTATCTATCTATCTATCTATCTATCTATCTATCTATCACTTCATTTTACAATTCAATTTACATTTAATTCAGATTTCCGACTGTACCCAAAGGCATCATACGCCATTTCGCATGCGCGCTTCAAATAACTGAACTGCAGACCGGCCCATCAGCTACTGTTGACGCCATTTGAGCTTTCATTATGTGTTTAATCTGCTCCAATGTTACGTCTGCCTCAAGCATTAGGCCTGTCTATATGAAACAGATCTAAAGGTTTCACTTAGTGGCTCTAATGATCTCAGGAGAGGCTTTACGGCCGGGTCTTTCCGACATGTCTTATCATTCATTCAAAGAGGTTCCTGTATGATCAGTCTGTGACGTGGAGGTTGTGAGGGGGAACTACGTCTCAGACTGTCGAAAGCAGACAAATACTTAACACCTGCTTATTAAAACTGACTAAAAGGGGCTAATAACACGACCTACCCTATAATTACTGAAGAACCTGTGTCATGTTGGGGTGTAGGATATTATGAGGGCAGTTACTAGAAGTAAGAAGTAGTGATTCCAGAAAGCCTCAGGATTAATAATTTAAAAAGACGTATTTGCATCAGTGCCGTTGAAATATTACTCTAGGCTAATACATGTAATACAGCTCCTTTGACTGGCTGCTCAATACTATTTTAATTTATTTTTATTATATATTGAGAAGATTTACAAAACCATATTCAGGTTCCTCTGAACCATTATCAACCCGTATATTGTTTTTTCATAAACATATAGCATAAACACAAATTTTCCTTGAATGGTTACAATAATAATCATAATAAAATGATGAAAAACACTTTTATGTACCAGAGTTGGTAAATAAACTATTGAATGGCAACACTGTTTCACAACATATATCTTAGACATTTCTCTATTGCAATTATGGTTATGTATCTTTATATCTATATATATACAATAATAATAGTATATCATATAACGTTAATATTAATATGTAACTGCTGCCATGCCCCCCCCCCCCCCCCCTCCCCGCACACACGGGCGGGCGCTCTGCTGAGCATGCGCACTCTCTGCCTCGGCTCTTCCTCAAGAATGGTGGGCGAAGCGCGCCTGTCGATTGTAGGTTAGATCAAGTGACTTCGAAAAGCTGCACACAAGTTTCGTTGAAGTTGACCAAAATTTGATGGAAAATACTGGTAAGACCTCGAAACGCATCTTTATTCACGAAATTCTTGTAATGTGGCTAAAATTGTGGTAATTATATAGCCAGCTAACGCTAGCTACTAGTGGTACCGAGCTAACGTTAGTGAAACTGCCAACGTTAGCCGGCTAGCTAACGTGGGGAAGCCGCTGGCACCGACTATTAACTGGAGATGAAGGCAAACGCTTAGCACGTTGTAGTTGTTCTAGGTAGAAAAAGGTGAGTGAGATTTAAAATGTTATCGATTGTTATCCCAATGCAGAGCCCTGGTAAGATCACAAGTGAAGTTTACGAACTAAAAGCTGATATTTGAGTTCACGCTCAGCGTTACGTTAATGTTACTAAACGAGGGCTAATGTGAAGCTAACGTCAACCACTGGTCACCGTAGTGATACTTCTCAGGAAATAGATGGGACTCAAGGCCCAACTTCTAATTGAACTTTGGCTATGCAAACAACCTCGCGGGTGCAACATGGTCTCAAAAAAGCAAACATTGCTAAAGTTAAAGTCAACATTTATCGATTTTAATAGAACACGTATCGTGAAGTTTAGGAGTCATGCGCGGTGTTATTTAACTAAGAAACCGATCACGTGGATGCATTATTTTTAGTAGCTAACGCAAGGGTTTAAGCTAAAGCTGGCGTCTGTTTTAATGTTAGAACAAGGAAGTGTCCTGTAGCGCCAGCTGCTGCTGCTTCTGACCTTTTTTGGTGTAAAGCTAGTTCACGTTTGAAAATATCAGTATGAGATATTGCAACTTACAATACGGAGCAGCACTGTTAACGTACCACTTTTGAAGATAATTATTAACTAAGTGTTGAACTAGGAAGTTGTGAAATCGGTTTGCTTTTGAATGCTAGAAAGTGGAGCATGCTACCACACAAGTTAGATGAAGGTGAATGTTTGAGGTGATGAATAGTCTAAGATAAGATTACTTTTTTTCTTTGTCCCCATTAGGAGAAACTTAAAATGGACACATAGGGGAATGTAGTTCAAAAAGAGTACAGAAGTGGAGGTACAACAAGATATCTTAAAATAAAACATTACAAAATATGATAGAAAATATAAGACTATAACTGAAAGTATATACACTATGTCTCAATGAAGTCCAAGTTGTTAATATTGGCTCATTGTACAGCTAGAATTGTAATTTTTAGCTTTTCTAGACTGCCTTATACCTTACTATAATTCTACTAGACTTGTATTTGTATTTTTATTATTGCTTAATCTGCCAATAATTTTCTTAACCAATTAGTTGTTAAGTCCACAAAAAATGCCAATTTCAATTTCCCCAAGCCCAACTGTGATGTCTGTGATTACCTTGTTTTGTCTGACCAACACTCCAAAACCTAAAGATTTCAAATTTACTTTCATATATGGCAAAGAAATCCCAACCCAGGGAATATTTGGTATTTTTGCTCTGGTGATAATCCAACAATCTTTTTAACAGGCCTGCATCTCTCAGAAGACACCATTACTGGAATGCTGGACACTGAGTCCCCTGCCATGGAGAGCAATGGGGATGCCTTTCTTCCTGACCTTCCTGTTCTAGGCCAAGCTGCTCCCTGGTCCATGGACCAGGTTGCTCCAGAACCACTTACCAACATTTTGCCTGAGGACTCAGATGCGTCCCAGGATGCTCCTGGGGAACAGCAGCAACCAAATCAACAAATGAACTCAACAGAGCTGGGATCTGTGGAAAAGGCTGTGGAGCAGTTTCAGCTTGCCAGTGCTCAGCTCTTCCAAGAGGAGCAGCCTCCACCTCCACCACAGCCCGCAGAACAGCCAGAACAGCCAGAACCGCCATCAGAACACAAAACAGAGTCTGGGGAGTCTCAGCAAGACAGTCAGGAGAAGAGTTTAGTGCCAGAGGCTGTTGTCCCATACGGCAGTCTAGGTAATGAATAGTTGTTGTTTAGTTGTTTGCTTTTTGTCATGATTAGTTAGTTTACTTGAACAGAGCAAAACTTCATTCAACCATTCACTCAAACATTAGTGGTCTTTAGGGCTGTCATGATAACTGCAAAAATGAAATGCCGCGCTACTGATAAGCTATTGCCACAAATGCATGTGACGTGACGTCACATCATCACGTCACGTTCACCCGTTGTTTTTTTAAGACTGAAAAGTGTTCCAGGGTGGCAGGGCTGAAGAGACTCGACTAAGATAAGCACTGTTAAAAATGCACAAGAATTCTCTCTCTGCTACTCAATATCCCTCAATTCATGGAATCACAAGCACATTAGTGTCCCATGATTGCATCATCATTTTGCACAGGGTAACAATACCACACAGGAAAAAGTCACGTAGCCTCTCCCTCGCTCTGGAGTTTCTGGCTGGAAACGCCAACAGGTCCACTAATTATCCCAATTTGCCCCTAGTTAA